CGGGTATGTGTGTGTGTGTGGGGGTGGGGTGGGGGGGGGGGGGGGGGGCGTGCTGATGTGTGTATGGGTGGGGGGGAGTTGGAGAGGAGGTATGTGAAGCAAACTTTTCATCATCCGTAATATCATCACGCCATATTTTCGCACTACCTCTATGTATTGCCCATTCGTATTACACGGTAACATCGGCTCAGTGAGACAGACTGAAGACTGTGCGTGCGTGTGTTTGTTTGTGAGTGTATGTGTGGATGTGTGTGCGTTTGTGTGTTTGTATATGTGTGTGTGTGTGTGTGTGTGTGTGTGTGTGTGTGTGTGTGTGTGTGTGTGTGTATGTGTGTGTGTATGTGTGTGGGAGGGAGGGGGGGGGGGGCTTTACTTGTACTTGTATGGTAGTGATTCAGGACCAACAGTAGAGGGAGGGGGGGGGGGGGAGGGGTACTCGCACAAGACCTTTGATTTTCTGTAGGATCCCACACGGTATATTTCTACTGTCCCTCTGTATGACCCCTTCTAGGGCCAATGTGACATTGTAACGATGGGTTTATAGAACAGGCGGGAGTCTTTCACAATGTGTATGTGTTTGAGAGCACGTGCACCCGTGCGTGTGTGTGTGTGTGTGTGTGTGTGTGTGTGACTGCATGTGTGGCTGCATGTATGGGCACTTATGTTGGCAAACATCTTTTTGTCGAGCGAATGCACACTTGCTCACCTCACTGCCCATCTCTCTGGCCAGTTTGTGAGCTGGTCGTATTCACTCACCATACCCTGCTGCCACTCAAATTGGTCTTGCACCGTGTCAACCTGTGACTAGTGAAACAGACCAGTTCCAATAAAAATGTCGAAATTGCCAGAGTCGACTCTAAAGGCAAAGTCACTTATCCCGTCACAAACACTCATGCCTCTTCTCGTCTTCGTCTCGCTCAATGAAAAACACATGAACTGCATGATTGTGTATACGAGGATTAGCGACCCGGAGTGTGTGTGTGGGGGGGGGGGGGGGTGTGGGTGCGTGCGTGCGTGTGTGAATGGACAAGGGGTGGGTATGTGTGTGGGGGGGGGGGGTGTACATGGGGAAAACAAATGGCAGAATGTGTGAGGGAATGTCGCTTCTATAGTATGTGTGCAACGTATCCTGTTATACTGTCACCTCTTTTACAGCTTGATCGGCTATTTAGATTGTGTGCAAACACTGCCTGTAGATTCCAGTCATGATGTCATTATGAGTCATGATTATTATAACAATGACTTCATTCTTAATTATATCACCAAAGCATGCAATCCATAAGACGCATTCTATGTCCAGAGCTTCAAGTATATGGTTGATTCTGCCTGTGTGTGTTGTTTGGTATGTGTGCGGGTGTGGTGGTGTGTGTTTGGGCGCGTGTGTGTGTGTGCGTGTATGTGCACTCTCGCCGTTGTACATTCTACAGGGCTAGCTGAGCTTCTGAGGATCTCTACTGGATAGTGTTTAGCAGTTGAGATTGGTGAAAGTGACAGCACTGGACAGGGATCACTGATTTCAAGCAGCTACTGCAGTAGAAGATACTCCAACAGCACACTACCTGTCATTGATCACAACACTGTGACATCACTTGTATAGACATGATGTATACAGATTGTCTATGACACACACAGTGTTGTGTTAGTATGTAGATATAATGATCAACTGAACTACATGTACTGTCTAGTCCAGTCTACTGTGGTATCAGTTTTACTGAATGTGTTCATGTCTACTCTCACCTACTGTTTTTACACTAGTCACTGTACAGAATAGTTACCGGTATGTCAGTTAAACCTGCAAAACTCTACTCTACAAATGTTTATACTGCAATGTATATTGCCATATTGTCGTCGGCCATACCCTGTACATATAAGTTCATGCTACTATCCTTGAGATACACATCATATTTTACTCCAGTATTGAAATCTAGCAGCACTGCTAGCATTGGTGTGACAAATGTAGAAATGCCCGTTGCAGCCGCTGTGTGCTATCACGTGAAAGCATGAAGCATCACAAATGTAGCCATTGTTCGACCTGAGCAAGCACAGACCGCAGCTCCTTCCACATTGTTTCCCATTGTGGCCAGCTTTCCAGTAGCCCACAGGACATATCCTGCCTGAACATGGCAATGTGTCCAAAATCCAAATGTGTTTGTATGTACGTACGAGCACGCGCGCACGCACGTGTTTGTGTGTGTGTGTGTGTGTTTGTGCACGTGAATGTGTTTGTGGTGGGGGGGGGGGGGAGGTGCACATGGATGTGCATGCACGTGCGTGTGTTTGTTATGTGTGTATATACATACTCAGCGGGACAACATGCCAAACTAAAGTGTGCCCATTCATCCCAAGCTCATGAACGGGATGCTACCTCTGCCAGTATTTGCATTATGTTACCATCAGTAATATGCAGCAGTGTTGTAATGATCAAATTCACCATGGTTAAGATCTACAATGTACTGTCGTGAACATTGAAATCAGATGGGATGACCAGGACCGGCACCCTATACTGCTTTTAACGTGTACACACACTAAAGTTAACGTACACATCATAAAGATGGACCAGCAGTGCTCGCGGCTGCAAGGTCAGCGCCACGTGGCCGCTTGACTTCTCAACGGATTTCAAAGCCCACGACAGTACCTGTCCCTCCAGGAATCCGCGGGCAGAAAGTTGAAATCCTGCGCAGAATTCTGCGGCACAAATCACTACATTATGCGGCGGAAAGCGTGAATTCTGCGGCAATACTGCGGTATTTCTGCGGCGCTGCACCGGCGAAAAGACATGGCTATATGCTATGTTCAAGTATCAATAAAAAATTATTTAGTGGTCGAAAACACACGATAGGCTCAATACAGTAACGAAGAAAACTCGCTCGACTTTGAATGCAACAAAATAGCGACAGGACACTGCACTGTGCATGTGCATGAATATGAAGCGCGTGCTCGCATTGCCCCCAAACCGTGATTTTCACGATTCTGCGGTGAAAACTGTGAATTCCGCGGAATATTCAAAAAAACATGAATTCCGCGGATTTTACCGCGGCCGCGGATTCCTGGAGGGACAGCAGTTCCTTCAAGTGTAGATAAATGGAGGTGGCAAACGTCACGGACCATGATTCTCTGGCGATACTGCACCCAGAGATCACTGGCTGTGCTCATGGGCAGGCACAAGAGTATGTAACGTCTGCGGGGGCGGGGTCTGAGCCCTCTGGATTTATTATTATTAATATTGAAAATAGCGCTGAGTAATTACACGAATGTATAAAAACCAGCATTTGCTTCCGGGAAGGATTCACAAGAATAAGATAACAACACCATGGCTCAATTCAACTGTACAGAGGAAAAGCTGCTTCTATTGTCAAGTTCAAGTGGCAATGTCAGAAAGACGGTAGACTAGCCGAGAGTTTCCAGTGCGTACAGATCCTGAACAAGCCACACACGCTCTGGATTTGGATGAGCAGATAATTTTAGATTTGCCACGAGCGCAATGGCACAGTGTTCAAAACGGGCGCGGGGGGGGGGGGGGGGGGGGTGCCAACAGCAAGTTGCAGTGTCGGCATGCTGGTGTCGTACAGGCACGCCTAGACTGCATGTGATTTCAGGCTTCATACGGCAACACTTTGTATGAAGTAAGCGTAGTAGTTCAAGTATAAAGTACCTTGAATAGTGACACAATTAATAATAGCCGGTAAGTAGTTGTGATGTCATAGCAGTACAGCAGGTAAGTAGTAGTGATGTCATAGCAGTACAGCCGGTAAGTAGTAGTGATGTCATAGCAGTACAGCCGGTAAGTAGTTGTGATGTCATAGCAGTACAGCAGGTAAGTAGTAGTGATGTCATAGCAGTACAGCCGGTAAGTAGTAGTGATGTCATAGCAATACAGCCGGTAAGTAGTAGTGATGTCATAGCCAGTATTTTGCTTGTAACTTATAACTAGTGAAAATACAGTTCCTCTCCCTGCGTCTAGGGTGGTGGAACAGGCGGAACTTGAAATGGAAAAGAATCTCTGAACGGGCCTAGCTGAGAAAGAAAAAGAACTTCTTGGTGATGGCTTGGAAAAATGAACATTGGCTCATTGCTCGAAATCACGCGACACCTGTACATTTTCGATCTGCGGGATGAAGATGACGACGTCCATGCATCAGGTATCAGGGGGTAGTAAGATACTGGTATATTACTACTCCACGCCTCAAATCGTGCTGTCAAGCGTATGCGGGGGAGTGTAGCATGCCATCCCTTACACTTTCCAGCTCAGGGTTACCCTCGCTACCAATGGACGAAATTTCAGGGTCACAGCTTGCGCAACGGCTTTGTCCTGTGCGAATGGCCACTCGACATACTCAGCACAAATTTTCTATTGCATGCATGCACAAAATGTTCAACTTTCGTATTTTTGGCGACTTTACCACCGTCGTGGAGGCTGGTTGGTGAGGAGCAGGTAGCCATCCCTTGTGGAATCAAACACATGGTTCCACAGTGTGGCTGATTCCGCAAGAGCCAGGTCCATACGAGGAACATTCGCTTTGTCTTTTGCCATCGAAGTAAGTCACTTATCTTGTTCTCAGTGTTTTTTACGTTCAACGTTTCTGAGATTTTTGAATTATTCACTTTTCATTCTTTCATACTTTATTTCTTCATGTTCACTGCCTCACTTGCCTTCTGATCTGGAGAATGTGACGGAGGTGACTGCTGGTTACTGCCTGGTATAACGATTGTCGTGCTGTTGCTGTATTTCCGTCCTGCTCGCGACGTTGTAGATCACAAACAATTTGAAATCACATGAATTGTACTTACCGTCGTGCGTGCGGTATTAGGAAACACTGTGCAGATTAGATCGTCGCCATGTATCTATATGTGTGTCTGGTCATCCTGTGCCACGCAAGAACTCCAACCAGATGCATTCGTCCTCGGCCCTGTTGATCGATTGTCCACTCGTCTTTCCTTGAAGAACGATCGATCAAAAAAATCGAGCTCGAGGACTTTTTGCAAAAAACGGCTGAAAAAGGAAGAAAAAAGGGTGCTCAGAATGAGATTCGAGTACACAACCATGGTCCCAGCAGTTTATGTGGATGTCGCTCATAGATGCGCGATTTCGCGCAATGTATGAGAGCCGTCACTGATAAGACTGGAAGATAGAACATAGATTGGGCATAGCTAGGGCACTAATGAATGTGGCACAAAAAAAAACATTGGCTATGAGAGTCGACACTGATAAGTCTGGTGGATTGAACAGTGTGATGTCGATAACCACCCATTATAGAACACAGATTGGGCTGAGCTAGGCCACTAGTGAATTTGCCACAAAAAAACCCATAGCTATGTGAATAAAAATAATAATATCAGCGGCATACTTGAAGTAGTGAGGGTAGGTAAGTGTAATTTGTCATGTGACCAGTATTGATGGTGGATATGCTAAAATACATATACATGTAGAGTAGTGATGATACTAGCATTGAAACTGGAGAATGGGACGGTCAAGGGTGGACTGGGAGGAGACTAGCATTGAAACTGGAGAATGGGACGGTCAAGGGTGGACTGTGAGGAGACTAGAAACAGCAGTGAGGATGCACACATGCACATGCACTGCAGACTTAACTTCTTTACTGCCATTTCTTCGGTTCGTCTGGAATCAGAGCGTTGCCTGGGGTGGTGCCAAATGGAATGGCGCTCGTACGACTTTTATTTACGGAAGTCACTGTCCGTGCCATGCAGCAAATCAAAGATTCCCAGCATGCCAAAGTTGTGGTTGAACCTGCATAGCAGCAGCCAACATAAACAAAAATAATGTCAGTTTTTATAATTATACAAGGTACACAAACTCATCGGCAGGCACATGGGGCTAGCATGGAGTCAGCAGTACATGGGGCTAGCATGGAGTCAGCAGTACATGGGGCTAGCATGGAGTCAGCAGTACATGGGGCTAGCATGGAGTCAGCAGTACATGGGGCTAGCATGGAGTCAGCAGTACATGGGGCTAGCATGGAGTCAGCAGTACATGGGGCTAGCATGGAGTCAGCAGTACATGGGGCTAGCATGGAGTCAGCAGTACATGGGGCTAGCATGGAGTCAGCAGTACATGGGGCTAGCATGGAGTCAGCAGTACATGGGACTAGCATGGAGTCAGCAGTACATGGGGCTAGCATGGAGTCAGCAGTACATGGGGCTAGCATGGAGTCAGCAGTACATGGGGCTAGCATGGAGTTAGCAGTGAGATGGTGCTGGTGAGGTCTGGCATGCTCAACTGACCAGAGGTCTCGGCATCATCGAATGGCAGACTCACCAAACTGAGGGCATTGTAGAGCATTGGATCAGAATCAGACAATACATACAGGAACATTCATGGTCAGAAAAGACAACAACCATGACACTGGTATGCAAGTAAACTGCTGGAAACAGGGAGTATTTCTTTTCTGTTGTTGGGGGCAGGGACTGCGGGAGTAATACAGTCGTCACCAAAAAAATCCAGCCAATGCCATGGATACATGTACAGAGGCATGGTGCCTGTCACAATCGCATTCATGCATTTACAGTCAATAGAGAGTCTACCAGCATAGCACTGAACTAAAACAGTCCGCGGCTCTGCACTCTGCCTGCTCCAGTCGAGTTGAGCACAGCACATACTGTGAACTGCAGAGTGCAGTCCCCGCGGCAGAGCATGTGCCATGCACTAGGCTAGTACACTAGCACTGGCACTAGCAGTGGCAGTCCACGCTACCCATGCACAGTACAGCTACCCGTAGCAGTGGCAGTGCATGCTACCCATGCACAGTACAGCTACCCGTAGCAGTGGCAGTGCATGCTGCCCATGCACAGTACAGCTACCGGTAGCAGTGGCAGTGCATGCTACCCATGCACAGTACAGCTACCTGTAGCAGTGGCAGTGCATGCTGCCCATGCACAGTACAGCTACTGGTAGCAGTGGCAGTGCATGCTGCCCATGCACAGTACAGCTACCGGTAGCAGTGGCAGTGCATACTACCCGTGCACAGTACAGCTACTGGTAGCAGTGGCAGTGCATGCTACCCATGCACAGTACAGCTACTGGTAGCAGTGGCAGTGCATGCTACCCATGCACAGTACAGCTACCGGTAGCAGTGGCAGTGCATGCTACCCATGCACAGTACAGCTACTGGTAGCAGTGGCAGTGCATGCTACCCATGCACAGTACAGCTACTGGTAGCAGTGGCAGTGTATGCAACCCATGCACAGTACAGCTACCGGTAGCAGTGGCAGTGCATGCTACCCATGCACAGTATAGCTACTGGTAGCAGTGGCAGTGCATGCTACCCATGCACAGTACAGCTACTGGTAGCAGTGGCGGTGCATGCTTGTAACCGAATGGCGCCTAGTAGCATGCACTATGATCCGACACACCGCCAAAGACAACAACCGACCGTTCCTTCTTCGTTCTAAGATTCTGTTGAGTAAGAAAAGTGTACGGTGTTATATGTGACCAAAAAGATACAGTGAAAGAAAAGCCTAGCAAAGCATTGCAAGGCACGTTGGTTCGGCTGCGTTGGTTCAGCTGCACGCTAGTGCAAACATGCAGATCGACAATGTTGGGCGGAAACCAAACACCACAACATTGCCAGAAACTAACTTGTTCACACCTACATACAATCATGAGTCCATACCGTGTCTGGTCTGGTTTGTTATGTTAGCAACCTAGAATGCATTGAACACATGGATTCGATCACACATTCCCCCCTGGTAACACAACAAAACAGGGAACTTGCACTAAAACGTAGAACTAAGGTTCTCCAAAGAAAAGAACAACACTCCACCAACAGCTAAACAAGAGAATAGCAAAATGCGTAATGGGTCTTGCATTTGCTAGCTTGCTCCCAACTAAGCACGCGCCAAGCTAGACTGATAACACGGCACACGTGCAGTTTCAGGAGCCATAGCGCTGCGGTGGCCTAATGGCAGATCTGTCTCGCAGGGACATGCGAATGCCGCCATCCCCAATGTTGGGCTCAGGGCCTGGCAGCACTGATGCTGGCTGGTACAGATAACCACCATCTGTTGCCGCTGCACTGTCGTCCATCGGCGCTGTTGGTTGGGCCAAGTCACGGGCGACATCCCTCTTGATGATCTCCACGTTGACAATCTTCTCCGCTGAGTGTGGATCAGCAGCCCGGGTGATGACAACTGTCGACGGCGACACAACGCGAACGATGCGCCACCCAGGCTCGTACGGTGCCAGGCATTTGCGGCTCCGGGAAGGCCGACGTAACAGCACCGCATCCCCTACGCTGTACTCTGCTCCTTCGATCACGCTCTCTGTGTCGTTCCGGGAGAGCTCTTCGTTTACGAGGTCTCGCACACGTGCCGTCTTCTCTGCCAAGCTTTCAACCCAGCTTGACAAACTGAGGTCTTCTTCCTCGCGCTCGACCAGGAGGTTGCGTGGTTCCCATCCCATCATTGCGGCGCATGGCGAAATCCCAGTAGCACTGTGCGGCCGCACCCTGTAGTAGTAGAGCAGCATGCTCAGCTCTGTCTGCCAATCGCTGCTGTACTCGACCACTTTGCGGATAAGACCCAGCAGCGTGCGATTGAAGCGCTCGGCTCCCCCTTGGCTCTGAGGGTGGCGCACAGCTCCATGCCTCACATGTACGCCGAATATCGATAGCAGAGACGACACCACACAGTTAACAAACTCCGTGCCGTTGTCACATCGAATTACGCTTGGTGGGCCAAACCGGGTGCAAATACCAACAAGCGCCTCCGCGACACTGACACCATCATGGCGGGCTAGGGGTACGACTTCCACCCACCGTGTGAACATGTCCACACACACGAGGACACAATGGTAGGAACTACTGCGGCTGGGTCCCAGCTCTAACGTATCAATCTGGATGACTTCCCACGGCCTGGTTGGTAGGTCGCTTCTCGCGGCCGGAGGGTTGAGCTCTCCTCGCGACGGGTTCGCTGCACGGCACGTCCCGCAGTCTCGGACGACTTCCTGGCAGCGTTGCGCCATCTGTGGGAAATGACAGCACTTCCGAAGACTGCCCCACATGGTCTCCCAGTTACCATGTCCGGTGTTGCGGTGAGCAGCACCGACGGCTTCACTCTGCAGTGCAGTAGGCAGGACCGGTACAATCACATCACCATCGACGGGGTCCACACGACTGAGGTACAGGACGCCATCAATAACACGCAGCTGACCCTTTGATTTCTTGTACAGGTGGCTCGTCACTTGCTTTCCATCCTGTAGCTGTGTCACTGTCAGCTGCACGTCCGCATCTACCGCTTGGCACCCGCGGATAGACCGCATCGACGTTGGCCCCTTCATAGAGCTTGCTGGTAGCGCTGCTGCGATTTCACCTGCTTCCTCCCGACAGGGAGGCCATGAGGTCGGCACGCGGGTGAGCCGATCTGCAACGTTCGACTCCGAGGGGACCCACTCCACGGACACCGTCATGCCAGCAGCAGCCACAGTGTCCTGAAACACCTGCAGGCGGAGACGGACGAGAGACTCGTGGAGACCCCCGACCTTCACGCGATGAGTATTCTGCGAGACCGAGCGCAACCAACCAGCAACCGTCTTCGAGTCGGTCACGATGGTCAGGTTCTTGACGTCCCACCGGATGGCCAGATCCAGCGCCTTCAGAGACGACTCGAGCTCCGCCACATTGATATGACGCTTGTCTGCTTTGTCTCGCAACCATGAACCATCCTCGACAACCTTGCCATCCTGCGTGAGCACCGTGGCAATTGCCAGGTTGGACGCGTCACAATACGCTCGCCACGTACCCATCGTTGGGTCAGCGTACCACACTCCGCTAACGGGATCATCATTGCACAGGCGGTGAACAATGTCGCGGCAACACTTCAAGACAGCATCCGGTACAGCCTGATCCCATGCCACCTCTGACGTGCAGGCAAGGCGCTTGACATACGAACACGATGGGCGCAGCCAGGCACACACAGGGTAGTGCCCAATCACTCTGCCACACCAACTAAACAGTTCACGCTTTGTTGGTTTGTCGGGTAGCTGTAGAGACACACCTTCGCGACGCGTCCACGACACACTCCCCTCGTCATCAGCCTGAAGTTGCAGACCTAGCACACGCGCACTCACGGCTGGCTCAGCCGGTTTGGTTGGCAGGCCATACTCCAGGAGCCGCGACTTGGTGCGGTCGACGAGCTGCTCTGGGACGTAGAGATCATCCACGTAGTTGTCTACGCCAGCGAGATCACGCGTGGCCCACTTCACGATCAAGTCCATTGCCTTTGGAGCCACGGACAGCCCGAAGCCCATCCGCTCCAGGACGTACACTTCGCCACGCCACACCACGCACTGATAACGCCACAAATCGGGATGAATGCGTACCTGTAGGTACGCTTTGCTGATATCCAGCAGCTGATACGCTTGCGGAACGCCCGCTTGACGCCACCTCCGTAGCGTCTCGCCACATGCCGGAGCGTCGGTGCCAGGGTGCGACGTCAGCTTCTGGTTGAGGAGCCGGTAGTCGAGGCAGGGCCGAACTGGCGTTGATGCCTTATGCTCCTGCGTAGCAGCGAGCAGAGGCAGCACACATCTCGGCTCACCATGCTTCTCGACGTCATGCTTCACTAGCCAGCCGTTGCCGAGCCATTTTTCAACCTCATCTCCAAATAGCTGTTCCTGCTCCTTGGAGAGCTTGGATCGTGGGTACTCTCCAAGGCCTGACCCGATGCACGTAGTCGGCTCCGTCTTGTCCGCCCATTGCCACTGCACCTCCCACGCCTTGTCAGCCGTACTCCACCGGAGGATCATATCTGATGCCCGCAGCACAACATCGCCATTGCTGAGCTTCTCCACGTCCGCGTGGTGAAAGTCTTCAGCGACGGCTCGTGCTTCCGACTCGGGGCGTGATGGATGCTCATCTGGGGTGCTCGACGCCAGCACCAATGGGCATGCAGCATTGACGGTCCCGAATACAACCCCCACCAGTTCTCCTGCGTCATACTGCATATGCACACCACCCAGAGTCGCGATGCTGTTAACTCCAATCAGCACATCAGCCTCCACGACAGACAGGTCGTCCACCACCAGCATGTCAGTCTCGGTCTCACGTAGGCGAACCACAGCACTATCCAGCCGTGAGATTGTACACTCCACGACGCCACGGACATCCACGGGACTGCCATCGATCGCATTAATTGTCGATGACGTAGGCCTGATATCCAAAGCTAGGTCGGTTGCCAGGGCGCTAGCTACAAGGGAGCGGGATGCACAGGTGTCCACAGCAGCTACTACACGCTTGCTTGGACCGCCGGACCGTTTGATGTCCACAAAGATCCGTGGCAGACTGTCACTTCCACTGCTCAGGCATAACACCTTGGAGTCACCATGATCACCAGAGTGCACAGGAGCAGCGGCTGCACTCCCACCCTGCTGCTTCTTCTGCTTGAAGGCCTTGAACTCCGAACAATCTCTCATCATATGCCCAGCCTCGTCGCAGAATAAACACGTCAGCTGACTGTGTTTGGCTTGCTTGTGGCTACCGGTACCACTACTAGTGCTCGCAGGGCAGTTCCGCTTGAAGTGGCCAACTTGACCACACTTGTAACACAGGACACGTCTTGCGGAGTCGCGACCTACACCTGCTGCAGCGGTCATCCTGGAAGAGCCTGATGGAGCCCGATCGTCTAGAGCACCGTAGCTCACTGCTGCCACACCGGGCTTCATCGATCGTTCCACGCTTCTAAGCCGCCTGACGTACTCCACGCAATCGTCGATGGTGTCCGTTTTTCCACTCATACGGAGCTCCTTCGCAAACTGAGAGGGGAGCCCTGAGAGAAACTGCCCGATCACTATTTTATTCTTCCCATCAGCATCAACCTGCTCACCAGACAAGGTGAGAAGCCTCTTCAAGTCCGCTGCGAAGTTGTCCACCGACTCGTCTCCTCGCAAGATCCTGGACGTAAACATCGAGTATGCTTGATCCGGTGCCATCCCAAAAGCGGCGGTCAGCTTCGCTTTCACATCGGCCGGCTTCTTCTTATCCGCTGCCGCCATCTCGTTCCACACGGTGAACGCCTCACCCTCGAGATAGAGCGGTAGATTCGCCATCTTCTTTTCGTCCGAGTCCCACTTCTGCAAGTCCGCGACAACTGAGAACTTCGCCCAGAATTCGCTCAGGTCGTCCCGACCCCCGCGGAACGGTCTCAAGAAGCATTCGACTTTGGCCATCTCGCACTGCTACCCAATTCGCCCGACTAATCCGAGTTACAACACAAACTCCTGAGTCCCGGGTTTCGGCACCACGTTGTTACGGAATCACAGCCATTCCGTTCCCCGGGACGCAGGACACAAAGGACAAGACTGGTTTGTTACATTATGTATATTGACATTACGGAAAAGTAGACTACTCTGACAGAGACGAACAAGAAGACTGACAAAAGGACTCTCGACTACAACATCGCGCATGCTCATATCACACATGCACGCGACTAGACGAGACAGTTTGGGGAATGCCATCACACGGGAAAACAACACATCATTTCACAACATGCTGCCCATGCACAGTACAGCTACTGGTAGCAGTGGCAGTGCATGCTACCCATGCACAGTACAGCTACCGGTAGCAGTGGCAGTGCATGCTACCCATGCACAGTACAGCTACCGGTAGCAGTGGCAGTGCATGCTGCCCATGCACAGTACAGCTACTGGTAGCAGTGGCAGTGCATGCTACCCATGCACAGTACAGCTACTGGTAGCAGTGGCAGTGCATGCTGCCCATGCACAGTACAGCTACTGGTAGCAGTGGCAGTGCATGCTACCCATGCACAGTACAGCTACTGGTAGCAGTGGCAGTGCATGCTACCCATGCACAGTACAGCTACCGGTAGCAGTGGCAGTGCATGCTGCCCATGTACAGTACAGCTACCGGTAGTAGTGGCAATGCATGCTACCCATGCACAGTACAGCTACCGGTAGCAGTGGCAGTGCATGCTGCCCATGTACAGTACAGCTACCGGTATTAGTGGCAGTGCATGCTACCCATGGACCGTACAGCCACGGGTAGCTGTACTGTGCATTGGTCGCATTTTTTGGCGACGACTGTATCCTTCTCTGTGCAAATTTCGAAAAGTTAGCACGTGACTTTATACATGCAGTCAGAACTCTCTTTTTTGGGGAAGGGAGTATTTCCTTTTAGGGGTACAGCAGGGGGGGGGGGGGGGCTCAAGTCAGATGTTTGCATTAACCGCCTTCCATGTATGTGCAGGGTATTAGTACAGCTACCAATCAATGCAGAATGCACACACTACACTACTAACTTTGCATGATGGTAGTCGTGGTACTCGTTGGACGGCATGAACGACAGGTGGAAGCTGCAGTGTGCGACGGACACGGAGGCCAGCGAGATACAGGCCCACAGCAGAAGCAGCATACAGTGAGAGCCGAGCAGGACGAGACCAGCCATTACCGGCAATATGTTTGAGAGGTAATGCTCGACCGGTTGACAGTACAGCCCAGAGATGCTGATTGGTGCGGTCCACTCATGGTGAACCTTGTGGATGTGTTTATGCCACAAGGGAATGTGAAGTGCCCTAGATAAACACAAAGCAAAAGAGAGAGGGAAAGAGAAAGAGAGAGAGAGAGAGAGAGAGAGAGAGAGAGAGAGAGGGGAGAGGGAGGGAGGGAGAATGTGTGTGTGTGTGTGTGTGTGTGTGTGTGTGTGTGTGTGTGTGTGTGTGAGAGAGAGAGAGAGAGAGAGAGAGAGAGAGAGAGAGAGAGCGGCTTTCCTACTTCAGATTTTATTTCCGTGAGCGGCAACTCCGAAATACTGATAAAATTCAAATGTGAAATGCAACCCCCACCAGTTCCTTGCAGGGATAGCATTTTTCTCATAATGTAGCGGACATTATGCGTGGAGTGGTAGACACGAATTGGATTTTGCAACCAACACAGGTCATTTTGTAGTCCACAAACACCATCACTGCATCAGTCCAGTGTCTGCTCCAGCGACGGGTAATCTACCCGGTTGGGCGGCGCTTGGACCCGGTTGAAAATATAGTACCGGGTCACCTGTGACCCGGTTGGTACTTTACACTTTCGAACTTTGAAAGGACTGACTGCATGGCTTGTATGTGTCAGATACTTCTTCTTTCGTAATTTATTATTTTCTAATTCCTCTCCTCTTTTTTCTAAATGCGGCTTATCCATTCTCCTTTATATCATTGGGCCTAGTTCCCGTTTATTGTCCGAATTAAAATTAACCAACCAACCAGTTAAAGCATGTGACTCGGCTGGTGAGACAGCGCCAGGTACATGTGTACCCGGCTCCGACCCGGTTGAAATGGTTCCACCAGGTACACGTGTACCCGGCTGTCCTACAATCCTAAAGCAGACACTGCAGTCACATGCCGCGGCCACCCTCCAAACTTCCTCCCGAAATTTAACCCTTTCCCACATTCTCCTTCCGTGTTTGTGAAGATAACCTGAACGAGAGAGCTTGGAAGCTCAGGGCCTTACGCTATGCTTTTTTGCCTTGATGACCTAGACAAAAAAAAGCTTAGGGATGTTATAAATTCTTTAAAAAATTCTTTTTTTTAAAGACATAACCTGGGATTCGAAGCCGCACTATCGCGCGCCCTGCATGCATCCCCCGATACACTTCGCATACCTACTAATTCTTCCAAGTTGTTTCACATTGTGATCTTGCATTTGAAAACCCTATTTGAATATGCATTGTGGCCAGCCGTCTTTGATGGCACGGTACGGTAGGGGATAGGTACGGGACAGGTACGATCGAGGGTAATACGACACCGTCTCCCGTACCGTACCGTACCATCAAACACAGCTGGCCACATACTGCTGCCCGCAATATTCAAATAGGGCTTTCAAACGCAAGATAATAACGTAAAACAACTTGGAAGAATGGGTATGAATGCGAAGTGTATGGGGGAATGCATGTAGGGCGATAGTGCGGGTTCGAATCCCAGGATATGCCTGAAAAAAAAAGGAGAATTGAAAAATTTATAACATCCTGCGCTTTTTTGCCGTCAGATACGGAAAGCGCCAGGCGTGACACAAACAAACACACAAACACCAAATTAAAGCTGTGTGGACCCTGGCTAGCACCAGACGTTACTGAAGTAGTGTCTTCTGGATAGCTACGGGAATAAACTACATGTAGATGTGTAGATGTAAAAGTTCCGTGCTTATTTAGACAGTCACACCACTCACTGGATGAATCAACCGTACACGCTGCCCCTTCTCCGTTCTGGACCAGGTCGTTGGTGATAACATATCTTCCAGCTGGGCATTTGCCACCTGTCCTTGTTTCCACCATCATCACTCATTGCTGGAACGGTTCTGGATATCGAGCGATGATAAACTCGTCAAGCAAGCTGGCTATCATGATGCTACCTTTGTACGGTTGCCAGGTTAGGTTGGAGATATCGGCCGTTCCCTTCACCAACACCGTCGTTACCAGTTCATTGTTGTAAGCCTATACTCGTAACGAACACTGTTCTGGCCAGTCACTCACACTCACACGTTCCCGGTATGTTCCAGTCCGCACAGCACAGATGTGATGACTTTGTTGCCAGCCATCTGATCACTCTGGCATCCATGTCCGCAAGCACCGTTGCCATCATCATCGGTAGGTCAGCAAATCTACCTCCAGTTGACCAAGACCATAGCAGACAGCCTCGGAGTTGGTGTTGAACATTCACACACGTCTGGATTTGTTTGAATGGGTTTTCCAAGCTGCCAATCGGTGCTTGGTTTGGCTCATCCCCAGCTAGCCAGTGATCTACTTCGGACTTCGTCGTATCGTGACCTGGACTTGCATCCACGATCATCCGAAACTCGCCATCACCAAATGGCCACATCAGCCTTCTTCACCGGTACGCAATGTAAATGGGCGAAACTGAAGCAAGAGCGAGAAAACTTGAAAAGCGAATCAACTACTACCATTGCCATGCCGACCTACCACCAAACGCCTCGATAGGCCGCGATCGATCGTCCTCCAACACCTAGGCTAAGGCTAAGGCTAAGCTAGGCTAAGGCTAGTAGGGGACGGGGCGCATGCGCGACGCTGATACAGAAAGGTCTACATGCAATGCAAGCAGTGGACGCGGAACCGGTAGATCATCATTATTTTTCTCGGTGCATTTTCTCTGTCGGACGGTTGCTGCAGTGCTGGTGATTTGTGAGGGTCGTGTAGTTGTGTGCGGTGTTCTCCATTGTTCACTGTGGACAGAACGATTCACGCCAGGCGGCGTGGACAGAGTGCTGCCGGCGCAATGCCGGACAGTGTGCGGTACAACATCAAGTACTTGGTATCCAATCTAGATGTGTCACTGATCTTGGAAGACCTGCTGGAGAATGATGTCCTCAGCGAAGAGGAATACGTTACTGCCTCAGGCAAGGAAAACGAGAAGTGGGATCTTTCCAAGTATGTGGTGAGGCTGATGCTAACGAAAACGGACGAACAGGTGGGTACATTCCTGAATTTGATTCAACACAGCCAGCCTCATGTAGCGGAGCATATTGCCAATACCATGGCGAAGCGACGCGGTGCAACTGCCAGTGAGAAAGCTGACCATCCGACGAAGCCAATGTCGGCAGATCGTGAGTCAACACTTGATTACAGTGGCGTAGGAAGATTGGGGGGGGGGGGGCGGCAGGGGGAGAGGGGGGGGGGGGGCGGCAGGGGGAGAGGGGGGGGGGGGGGGGGGGGCTCGTTGAATATTCATGTCACTACTTACTTGTTTGCAAGCGCGCGTGAGTAGCTCACAGATCAACCAGTACTGGCAGTAGTGGCGGTACTGTACATGGCTGGTGATGCACTCACATTGATCATAGTCAGAGCTGACCCTGGCAATACACTACACTGCGAGAGGGTTAAGGTAGATAGACTGCAGGCCCACTGGAACCGATCCGCTTGCTCAGGTTATCACCGGACCAACGTTTTGGCCACCAACACATACTTACTGCTGTGGAGGGCATGTGCACCCGCCATGATATCATACACAATGACGGTATGAAAGGCTATGCCACTGCTGGACCAATCAATAACTGCTTCCGGCGGTCCTGCCGGAACAGTCACGGGATTATAACCAGGTCTTTGGCGGCGGTCATAAAATTTGGACATTTCCATGGTTATACTAAGCACCGAGTTACCAGCCATTATTCAATGACCTCCAAAAGATCTCACTAGGTCCAGATAGTCATCAACACCATTGTGGAAAATCCCCTATCAGTGGAACATAACTTTGTTACTAATTTTAGAGTTCTGGAACAACCACTAGAGATGTTTTGCTGAGCGAACGTTCGCGTAAATTTTAGATTGACGTCGCGAGAAGCAACTTCGCACGAACGTTCGCAGCTGCGAACGAGAAAATTGAAGGAAACGTGAAACAAATTTTCGCAGTAAATTCCGCTGATCACAGACCAGTGACTATTGGTGAACCACCCTCAGGCAATGTTTGGTGCTTCATCTTTCACAATCCAGTAGATACACTCTTGGCTTGGTCCTCCAGTGCTAGCTTTCCCATATGGCAGCCCGTGTTGCTTCATCTCCGGAACCATGTCCGATCTCCTACCCTGGGCGTCTTTTCAGCGTCGATTATATCAATGATTCCTGTTTTCTTGAAGTTCAGGTGTTGATGCGCCGGATTACAGCACAGGCAAACCCGTTTGTCTGTGGGTGTCCGGTCATGGACAACGTAGTCAAAGAGTTCTCGTCGCAGGGCGCTGACACTTGCAAAAATAAATAATCGGAAGTAGACAACTTCTCAAACAAGCGCGAGTACACGTGTACTTTCCTGGAGCGAAAATCATGCAAAATACAAATTTTGCGCAATCGTTCGCAGAAATATTTGCAAGCCAAGACGCGAAAATCCAACCAAAGTTTTGCTCTGCACAACGTCTCTACTAGTAGGAGATAAGCCCGGGATTCTTGTTTGAAATCGGGGCGTTATTCTCAAACATAAACTTATCCATGTATAAACAATTAAAATGAAACAATTCCAGAACGTTTTCGTGTGACCATCATCAGTGGAACATCGTCACATAGTAAGAATCACTAAAACAACCAGTTATATAGCTAGAGTAATATGAAAAGAAGCGTGAGAATGCAGCACAGCTAGCGGTTATGCATAACGCGTGTAGTGTGAACCTTTGCAGTGTATCTGAGTATGGTAGCAGTAGATGAATGTGGCAGCTGTGAGTGCGTGTGAACAAAAACTGGTGAGTGCGTATTATTTAAAAAGTGGCGCAACACATGAATCTGGTGTCACTCTTGACGACAACAACACGGCATGGGAGACCACCGGACGATCGTTCGTCAACAAACCCGACGGCGGTAACGGAAAGATCACCAGGAGAACGAAATGAAAATGGAGGAAAAACGAATCTGAGAAGAAGCCAGAGACTAGCGGAGACACGACTGAGAAAAATGGAGAAGGCGGAACCAGTAGTGGCAGGTGAAAGTACGGGCGCGGCAGTGAACACGTCAAGGAGAAAGAAGCGATGGCATGAGGAGATGGAGATGGAGGATGATGATGGGGATGAACAGGATGGTCAGGAGGAAAGCAAGGGTGAGCAGGAACAGGAAGTGGAGGATGAGAGTGATACGGACGAGGAGGAGTTCGACATCGACAAGAGCAAGTCTGCCATCTACAAGCATTTGGTGTCCAGTCCGGATTGTCGTAAGTTGTTTGACGATTCCTGGTTTAGTGTTATTTGTCGCGCGCGTTTCTTTAAGCAGTTGCAGGTGTTGGAAGCTGTATATATTCGCACACGTGACCCTGTTCTATGCAAGCAAAAAGAAAATGTTGTAGCACTCACACTTTTTAAATAATACGCACTCACCAGTTTTTGTTCACACGCACTCACAGCTGCCACATTCATCTACTGCTACCATACTCAGATACACTGCAAAGGTTCACACTACACGCGTTATGCATAACCGCTAGCTGTGCTGCATTCTCACGCTTCTTTTCATATTACTCTAGCTATATAACTGGTTGTTTTAGTGATTCTTACTATGTGACGATGTTCCACTGATGATGGTCACACGAAAACGTTCTGGAATTGTTTCATTTTAATTGTTTATACATGGTTATGAGTGCACAATTGATATTTTTCATTGCTATTTTACGACTGTTGTCTCCTCGTCGGTTATATAAACTTATCCCTCTGTCATTGCTCAGTACACAGAACACTACCAGTACTGAGAAATTTTGATTTTATGATCTTTCTATAGGTATTTTAGGGAAACATGTTGGTGATCTATCCCCCCCCCCCTATCCGATACAAAACAAACACGACCAGTGACGCTGGCACGTGTCAACCATGTGGAACATTTGGGACTGGGAAAATGGAAGTAACAATTAGTTTGGAAGACCGAGTGGCACTAAGAAGTTCCCAGAACTGGGCAGAAGCCGGCCAGCCACTGCTGTACCAGCACGATGGTCCGTGTCCGCACACAACAAAATTCAATGCACGTGCGTTTGCAGCGCAAGGGAAAGCGAAAGGACCCGACATTCAGATTGTTTTTCAGCCGGGACAAAACCCCGATGTCAACGCGGTCGACTTGGCATTCTTCTACAGCCTGGAGACAGACGTGTGAGTGATGGCGAAGGAAACCAGAAAGGAGCTCAGAAGTTCTGCAGGCTTTGGAAACGTGCTGGCAGGAGAACCCCGCTGCCAAAATAAAACACATTACATTTTGGTTGTGCAGCTATGGCACCTTCCATGGCGTTCTGGAGAGCGGCGGAGAGAAAAGCTGCGGACAGCGGCACCGTGCAAATCGTCAAGTTCACAGTTCAAGCAAAAAAGTACGATCAAATATTTATATTCTCGGCATCTTTTAAAGTTTACGGAGCAAAAGCTGTCAGTGTGTCAGCGCTGGAGACGGGAGTCAGAATGGAAGCAGACTCAATGCAGATAATGAGTTGTCATCGAATTCAGATGAAGGGAGAAGCTGGACCACTTCGAAACAAACTGTGTGACATCTATGAACTACTATCTCTCGTATGCGCATTGTTTTCCCCTCTGCGAAGTGTGTTGTAGCCATAGAATGCTTTTGACAGAACTGCAAAAACATGCAACAAAGTTTCGTTTAACAAAGGAAGTACATCATACATCCCTTTTGAAAGAGTTTCAAAACTTACTCTAGGTTTATTCATTCTTTCTGTTTCCTTTGTAGGTATCACCATGACAACAGTTGGCAAACAGAAAACACAGCCATTGCAGCACACAGTGGGGGATGGTCAGGCAGACCAACAATGGACGTCCAACAGATGTGAACCAATCTTCAAACAACCAACATCAGCTGAAACAACCGCCAATGCAACTAGAACGGGTACAACATCCAATGCAACATTGACTGCAACACAGGGTTCAACAAGATCAACAACTTCAAGCCAGTCTTCTCTACCGGACAAAGACCGACACTTCACTGGCAGGAATGACATTGTAACAGAGATCAGCGCCAACATTCTCACAACAAAGTCCAAATCATCATCTACACGAGTGCAGAGTCTTATGGCACCAGCTGGTTTTGGTAAGACGTCCGTAGCCATTGCTGTGGGACATGTATGTCGCAATGCTGGTTGTCGTGTGGAGTTCTTTGACTTACGCGGTGTAGCTGGTGTTGACGCTGTCCAGGCAATGATTCAAAACCGACTCGAGACAAACCCGGCTTCATCTGAAACTTGCGGTGTGACAACGAAATCAACTGATGGCATGGATGATAATGGTACCCAGCACCACATGTTATGTATTCTGGATAATGCCGAGGATGCCATCCAGGCTGGTGCAGATAAGGATTTCCAACTACAAGATGTTGTGGAACGACTGCTTCGACTACAACACAACGTTCATGTCCTACTGACAAGTCGTGTTTACTTTGACCTACACGCTGCCCAGTTTAAACTACAACAACACCGTCTTGATTGTCTGACAAAGGTTTGTGCTGTTGGTCTTCTCCATGG